CCGCAGTGTGCTCTCGCAATCGAGGACTTAGTCATTTTTGCAAGATTCGCCATTTTTGATGTCACGTGATAATTATGTAAACAATGACTGTCCAGTTTGTGCGAACTTGTACCTCTATACTTAGTCTTTTGAAATATATAAGCTAAATTACTCTTCTGAACAACACAACAGACAGAGAATGTTTTATTCGAAAATGTCACAAAACCCTTCTCGCTACCTTAAGTGGTTAACAAACCCTATGTGTTTGATGGTTTGTGCCCTCTAGTGTTGATATTAATTATTATTTTAGTCTCCTGGCAACTTAGTTGAGCAGAGCTCATCATACAAGTGAATGTTCGTCATTGTTTTTTTACTTTTTCGACTTCTTTGTAAAAACTATAAGCCTACTTGGGTAGAACTCACTTAGATTTGTTCATTTCATGATGATTTTTCTAATTTTATATAGGTAACTCAGGTGGACCTTTCTCAGATTTGTTCATTTTTTGATGATATCTTCAATTCTCTAATTGAAATGTGCATCACTAAAAGTGGAGCTATCTTAGCCGAGAAGCTGCTTGTGTTTTATACTATCCTATTCTGATTCTTGTTTCAGGGCATTACTGCTCCAAGTCAGGGATTCCTCAATTGCCTGGTGTATGGATGGACCAGACCTGCTTTTATTCGGGCTAACCCACAATCTCGCTACTCTACCCCCGGCAGTGCAACCACTACACCACTCACCAGAACCACGTACAGATCATATGGAGTGGGGGAAAGTAGGAAAACCTGGAAGCGATCAACGCTAGATGGATCAGGATCTTTAAGTTACAGTACAAGTTCCACACAAAGTCAATTGGGACTAACATAGCATTTAGGTGACTGTGGTAGGTTGTGATTGAAAATGACTGCTTGAAACCATTTGAACAGCAGAGTGAAGAACTAGTACTGGTGAAAAATGTCATACATTGCAGTGTCTATGGGTGGTATTGTTTGTACACTAACCACACGGTTTATGACATTCAGTTGTATATAGCCGAGTTCACATTTACTATACAATAGTATTAACATTCAGAGCAGTGTGAGAATGGAAAACAAGACATCAAGATGTTTCGAGAATCATTTCAACATACTAGTATATGTAATAATATATTTGCTGTATTAGAAGAGCACATAAAACAAAAACTGTGTTTGGGTCATGAATAAGCTGCTAATATGTTATATTTGGAGCATTGACCAACATTTTTTTTTTTTAAGAGCAGTCCAAATACATGGGTCTGTTTCAGTTCTTAATTATTATGCTAATTTCCAGTTTTGTTATTTTTAAAATTAACTTTTCTAGCTATTTATTTTCAAGCATGTTATTTTAAACAAAGATTATGTGTCATGGAACTTACAGCAGAATTAGAGGAACGATGAACATAGCATGTTGGGATCTGTGTCATCAGTACTTGTTCAAATTCCAAAAATGGGGTTTTTAATTGTTAAGCATGCATTGACAGATTTCTAGCAAAGACAGTACTTGACGTTGTGCATATTAATTATGTCCAAATCAGCACTTGACCACCTTATCATGGCATGCATTTTGCCAACTGATGACTATTTTTATCATAATTATTGAAACTTGTGTCAGATTTTTTAATGATTTTAGTGCACTATTTTTTTTTAAATTTCATTGTAAATTTAGGGGGAAAAAAAGATTGTAACATTGTGCTGATGGCAGAGTTTGTGAATAAAGAATTCATTCTACTAAATTATGACCATATCTCTTCGGAGTCCAACAGCAACAGAGAGGAAAGCTTATGAGTGACTCAACATATTTTATTTTTGTGCATTTAGTTTTTGGGATACATTGGTCAATTCAATCTTTGAGCTTTTTGACTCTCGTGTGCGAAGCACAAAAGGGAGTCTTTGCAGTTACCCTGTCTGTATGTATGTCACTTTTTTTGTTCCACCGTTATCTCAAGAACCGCTAATCAAATTTTGGTGAAACTTGGTACATAGATGCTCTTGGATTTTGCGCAGAGTTGATTAGGTTTTGGTAAAAATATATGAATATTAATTATCTAATTTGCATGATAATTAGCTGATTTTTAGCTGTTCCACTGATATATGAAGAACCACTCATTGGATTTTGATGAAACTTGGCACATGGATGCTCTGAACTAATGCGCAGTTTTGGGTAAAAATCTGTTTATATTAATTACCTAATTTGCATAATGATTAATCAATTTTCGGCTTTTCCACTGATATCTCAAGTACTAATAACATTTCAATAAAACTTGATACAGATGTTATGACACTGCACAGACCTGGTAGTGTTTAGGGTAATATCAGTGCATAATTAATTAATTTTCAGCTTTTGATATTTCAAGTAGTAATGATCACATTTCAATGAAACATGGTACATAGTTACTTGAGGACTGCAGAGACCTAATTAGTTTTTGGATAAATATTTGTGCATATTAATCACCTTATTAGCATAATTAGTTGATTTTCAGCCCTTCACCTGATATCTCAAGTACTAATCAACACATTTCAATGAGATCTTCTAGAACTATGCAGAGACCTGATTAATTTTGGGATAAATAATTGTGCATATTAACTACCTAATTTGCATAATTAGTTAATTTGTTGTTGTTGCACTGATGTCTGAAGAACCACTCATTGGATTTTAATGAAACTTTTAAAGAGTACTCATCAAATTTCAATGAACTTAGGACTATACACCATGATATTAGTTTGGTAAATATTTATGCTTCTTACTCAACTAATTAACAATTAATACTGATTGATCATCACATTTGAATAAAACTTGGTACATAAATGCTCTAGGACAATAGACAGCCTGATTAATTTTGGGTTAAAATCTGTTCATATTAATTCTCTAATTAGCATAATAATTAATAATGTTTTGGTTCTATTCACATTTCAATTTAGAATATAGATATTACATTACGCAGACCTTATTAGTTTTACACTTAAATCTGTTCATATTAGTTACCTTATTTGCATAATTAGTTCTGCATTTCCATCAATATCTCAAGTTCAAGTAATTTTTAATGAGTCTCCAATACTCGGCACACGAGTTCTTTCTAAGCTTTCTTTGATTAAATTTTATTCTGAAGGCTATAGAACAGGGTCAAGGCCAAAGGAGTCGTAGATCATGTCAACTTGTGCAGAAGAAATATCCATAGGAAATTGTATTGACAGTATACACAACAGTGAACACATATTCAGTAACAATTCAATGTTTTCATTTCTATTTATGGAAGTTTTCAGCAGGTGATGTTAGTAACAATACTTAATTCAACATTTATAGTGCTATTCATTTGGTAATAGCAATAGTGTACAATGAGGGCACTTAAACATACAATCATTAAGTACATTAAGTTTGAATTTTGTTGAAGGCACAGTCTTTATGTAATGGATGTCAAAGGTCATAACGAATCAACTCATTGAATAACAAACCATTTGGGTGTAAGAATTAGATGATCACACAGAAAGTCAGTTCCTTTACGCTGGAGAGAACACCAAATTAGTCTCTTTTTGCTTCTTCCTCGCATTATACAAAGACTTGGTAGTGCAAGTCTCAAGCAGTGATGGGTGGCATTGAGTTGTTTTCATAAGTCCAATGTATGAATACAACCCTAGACAGTGGGTAAAATGAACAATATAAAATGCAATGCACATTTCAATTAAAGAACTGAAGATATCATTAGAAAATGAACAATATGCATAGTATCAAAGCAATGGGACTTGCTGTTTTCAACAAGAAGTCGAAAATATCACTTTTTACCGAAAAAGACAAAAATATTCACCAAAATTAAAGAATAGAAGATATCACGAAATGAACAAATCTGAGAAAAGTCTACATGTAGTATCTATATACGTAATATCAAAGCAATTGAACTATTGGTTTTTAACAAGAAGTCGAAAATATTCACCAAAATTAGAGAATTGAAGACATCACAAAATGAACAAATCTGAGAGAGGTACACATGTAGTACCTATATATGTAATATCAAAGCAATTGGACTTGCGGTTTTTAAAAAGAAGTCAAAAATATCATTTTTTACCAAAAATGACAAAAATATTCACCAAAATTAGAGAATTGAAGATATTATCATGAAATGAACAAATCTGAGAGAGGTCTACCCAAGGTACATATACACGAAGTATCAAAGCATTCAGGCTTGTAGTTTTCAAGAAGTCGAAAAAGTAAAACATTGACACGGACGACGACGGACAATCACTCGTATGATAAGCTCCACTCGACAAAGTCGACAGCGGAGCTAAAAATTCACTATCGTTGGCATAAACAGATTGAACTTTGACAAAGTGACTTTAGCAACATCTTCACTGCTCCATTCTAAGCCTGTAGATGTGAGGTTGATCTTATACCCCCCCCCCCTCCCCTACGTGGGACTATTTTGGTCTTCGGGCAGTAGCTACCAGTTGTGTTCACATCTAACACTGCCAGATACCATTGAGTGTTGTTACTATCAGTATAGCAGAAACTATTGTTACACAAGTACCTTCATTAATGTTCAATCCTGTGCTGCAAACACCAGGTTATAGTGCCAAGTTGAGAATATCCGTCTCTGCAGTTACCCATCTGTACGTGTTCATGTAGATTCATCTCAAACCACAATATATAGCTTAGTTTTTGGTTGAAACCTTGCATATTAATTTACCTAATTTGCATACATACAAATTCTCGCTAAAATAAAATATTTTACAAACCACATGTGCTTATATGTTGAAAGTGTCATCTAATCTGAAAATTTAACTACATTATTCTGAACTGTTTTTGTCAATATATTAACAGGTCTTGTGAATGCACACGACAAACTCATTTAATTGATGTACAGTGGCTATGGGAGCCTGCTTGTCAAAGTTTGTTGCAAGTTGAATATACATGTTGCCCCACAGATGTCTTATAATGTATGCAAGGATAGCCAAAATGTATTTTGTCCAACTTTGTTGCACGAGTGCGCGTGCATGCTAAACACGTTTTCGTTGTAAACTTTCAATGTGGTTATCAACATGCTTGGTGCAAAAGTGAAGTTGGTAAAACACAATGTTTACCTAATGCTGCAGATCAACACCTTACCTCTGCTTGTGTATTTGATTAAATTCAAAACAATACTACATGCATGTCAGGTTATTCATTAAAGTTTCTTACATTGCAAGTACTTAGTTTGATCATGGACCTTAAAAGACAGGGACAGGCAACTGCGGTATTCATCAAAGACAAATGCTACTTCCTGCATGCTATAATCACAAGTCTTCAAAACAAACTATCAATCACATGATAGTACAGTGACATCACACACTAGCAGATGCCACCGCAATTTTTAAAAGTGTCTATGTTCATTGCTGAGTTTCTCGTTCTACATTATCATTTTTTGCAATTCACCACTGGTATGCATTTTTATTACTCCCGTTCGAACGCAGTTTGAAAACGGGTACTTCTGTTTTGACCTTGTGCATCCGTGCGTGGGTGCGTGCGTCTGGACCTGTATCTTAGACATGCCTGAACCAATTAGACTTCACACATACATGGTGGCCATTTTTGTGCTAAAAAATTATCAAATATCAAGCATTTATGGATGGATTTTGTTCAAACTTGGTACATTAGACAATATGGGTCCTGATGCACGTCATTTTATTTTTCAGATCGGATTCAAAATGGCTGACTGGTGGCCTTTTTGTTTTAATAATTGGGCTCCTAGAGCCGTATCTCCGACATGCTTTGTCTGATTATGTTCAAATTTTAAATATTCATGATTTATACATGTATTCAAAATATCACTTTTTGGCAAAATTATTCATCAAAATAAGAGAATTGTAGATATCATCCCCAAATGAACAAAGCAGAGAGGTCAATGTTTGGTACACTATTAAATATCAAAGCAATCAGGCTTACATTTTTCTAAAGTTGTTGAATATTTGATAATCAATACAACTAATTTGTCCGGCAGAGCTATGTCGCTGACATCGTCCTAATCGCACGGTTTGTTGCTGACTCCACCAGCCTGGGTAAACATGTATTTTATGTTAAATGACCAAGTTAGATTGGATACCTTTCCAACAGGCGCATCCAATGTTGATTTTTGTTGCCTCACGCCTATTACCGGTAAATACACACTGTAGTGGTTCAATCTGCCAAGGATCAGTTTGGAGGGGTGACCCGAAACAAACGTTCCCTGGCTGGCGAAGATGTGTCACTGAGCAAACTTGAAACACTATGAATACAAGTGCAAAACAGCCATTTTTTTTATTTGACATGAAAACCCATAATGACAGAAGAAATAACACATCTTGCACAAAAATTCAGTAAAAATCATAATTCTACAAATATGTATTTATATACTTGGAGAAAAGGTTTGTAAACCTGCTTGGAATGTGTTGGTTCTTAACCAATCAAATTGCATAAATTGGCAGTATTCAAATAACACGTTTTATAATGCAAATACATGTCAAGTGTTGGTATCAAAATGATTACAAAAGTCTAAAACTTGAACAAAATGCTGATTACATATTTAAATAGCATAGACAACTTTTTATCATTCAGCTCATTTGCATGTCAACTTGTTCTCATTTGTACGTCATTTGAATGACGGCACAATCTTCTTGGATATGGTAGTCATTTGCATGACAATATGACAGCACAATCCTATTCCATACAACACAGCTCATTTGCATGACAAAACATTCCTATTTATAAAGTTAGCTCATTTGCATGAAATATTGAATGACAGCACAACCCTATAGGATATAGCTACAGGTAGCTCAGTTGCATGATAATGCATTCCTATTTATAAAGTTAGCTCATTTGCATGAAATATTGGATAAATTTAATCTCAGTTGCAAGAAATCCTAATTCAAACTATTTTGTCCAAGTTGCATTTAGGCCAGACTTTTATTATCTCTTGTTTCCCGAACCTGCCAAATGAACAGGAGCCAAAAATGAAATCAAAATTTAATTTTATTTCAGCGTAATTTCTCGCGCCCGCTGACTTGTGAGTGCAAAAAATTGCTAATATTTTTATCTTCATTTTTTTTTCGCCCGCCGCCTAAGAAATTCAAGTTGCATTTCCATGGGAGTATCATGATCAAAGTACCAAAGTCTAGCACAGATCTATATTTAATGCACGTTGGTTGACAGTGAATCTCGGGTAATGACCTCTCTGCATGCTGCTTGAGACTACTAGGCGAACATGGCGGTGGTGTGGTTTGTGGAGACACGCCGTGAAACTGTCGTCAAAAACCAAGAAATCCCTCATTAATGCTGAAAATTGTGCCCCAATTGGCGACATTGCCAACCAGGTTATACATGGAATAAAATTTTATTTCATTTCTTCTCTTCGATCAATGATCTCACTTACAATTCTTCGGGAATCACACAAATCTAATGGAAAAAAATTAATTTTTATTTTTTTCCGCCCTCAAAAAATTCACTTATAAAAACTCAAGAAACAGGGAATAAAATAAGTCTGGCCTTAATTTGGACAACATTACATTCTAATTAGATATACGTTATTTAATTTGCAATACATCACATAATTTGAAATATTTTATCTCATTTGCATTTAATTTGAATAACATTTTAATTAGAAATATTTTGGCTCAATTGCATGTAATTTGTCATCAGCGTTTAACTGGAAATGTATAAATATTAGCACACAAACAGTATAAAATTAACACAATTTGTCCATGAAAAAATTATCAAACTGTCAATTGAATATGAAAAAGGTTTTCTGTGTTAACTATCAGTTATTCATAGAAATATTCTTTTCACAATGAAACAAGTCATTGAAAATTTTTGAAAGTTCTCTTTGTGCTAGTCATATTAAAGCGAAGGGGTTGTCGTGAGCGTGTCTTTGAAACTTGAGTTCCAAGTGGCGTATACAAAAGATTGTTTATTTACATCAAAACACGTGTTCAGTATAGTAGTATTATGGCCAAAAATAAAAACAGTCGTTATTCGGCCATCTTTGATCTGGTTATGAAACACACTGATATGTATGAT